ATAAATTACGAGTGAACTACATTACTTATACCAATCTATGTCATTATGACATCATAGAAGTATATCACCGTTAAAGATGATTGCTCTTTGTCACCATGAACTGGAACCATCAATGTAATGTTAGTAATGTAATTGAAGTGAATAAATATACCTTTGGTCGCACATCAAACAGTTGTGCTGGTAGAAATGAAGACGGCAGATGTGTCGCCATGAGCCGTGGTGAAGGCATTTCTGCTAGAATTTCATAGTTTGGTCTGCAACCCGGAATGTGATAATCAGGATACGGACCTTTATCCAACGGTTCCTCTCCCACAAAAACGCCACAGTGTGACAGTATTCTCCAAACTATTTCGGTTATCCACAAAGTGCCTAATGATATGAAATACAGTCTCTTAATTACATCGTTACACGTATTCGTATGTTGAATATAAGAGTTCTTAGAGTGCAGATACATGACGTTTGCTACAAGTGCAACATACCAAACCATTTAATCTTACCATTTTCTTACCAATATATTTTTTTTAAATTGCATTATTTATTTATGAATAGCAGTTTCTGTGCTCATAAATATTCATTACTTTCGAGATCAATGCACTATGTATATTTCTGCACTATCTATTTGTCACTGATACCTATTTGCTGATGAAAACTAATTTCCACCATAATTGCAAGTTCTAAAATTAAGAGAATAATTATTTCGACAAATATCACAGACTCGTTTAGAAATAAATACCTTTTGTTGAGTTAAATAACATCATTAAGTTGTTAAATTTAGATAATATATGTCACAACACATATTGGCCATGTTTTTCGGAGTAAATATCTTTCGTTTAATTAACTTACGCAATTACGCCATGTTGTAGTTTAGAATTAATGTAAATAAATATATTAGAAATTCGATTGAATTACGAGACTCCAAAAACGTTAAATTGTTAACTGCTGTATTATCTAGCAATAATCACCAAGTCTTCTGTTTCTTGCTTGTAACGGCTCAGTAACAGTCAAACACATTGGACGCTCGGCCTGCTTATTTGTTGACATGGTGACGGTGTCTATTAATATAACATTATTTACTATTTTTACTTGATTTACGTTTTTCACGGTAGCTCTGAGCTGGACCAATTTCATTTTCAAACTATTTTTACTTTGATGGAGGCACGCTTGTTCACCATGCCTCGACATTAGTTGTTGAACGGTGTTCTTTTAACACTTTTACCTTTACTTCAATGGGTTGAATGTGAAAGCTGAAATAATGGACTTAGTTCCGTTGAATGTTTTGTGTCGTGTGAGTCTGAGTTTGTATTTGACGGTTTTGCATTCCCCCTGTGTTCCACGCTGTTGTATATATAGCGACTACCCCGTTGTATTGTGTCAATGTGATTATGTGAGCGTTAAATGAAGTCTTATTACTAGCGTGTCACGCTATGACCTAATTTCAACTGCACAGCTCAATCCCTGGCATGGTCACAAGGACTACATAATTGTTTTGTTTAATATTCTTACGTTATTATCATTATTTGATTTGCACCACCCTAATTGGCAATGTCTTAAGTATCTTTATTGTAATTTATACAAATTCGTATATAGCGAACAATTCACTCCGATTGACGATAATGCATTTTGTGACGTACAGGATATCACCCTAAGGCATTATACTATTCAATATATATCCAAATTACCTGATTTAGCGAAGGTACATATGAACACGTCGTCTGGTCTCACTTCAAAACTGTCCATGGCTTCCAAGCTTTTTTGTGGCATGAAAAGCGGAAACGTAATGCCTTTGTAAGTGTGTGTATCCACCTTCCATTGCTTGTCTTGAGATGCAGAATTCATATTAATATCACACAATGACCTGCTGTGGACTTGAAACGATCGGCTCTAATAGAATGATGACGTCATTTTAAACGTGTCCCCGATACATAGGGAGCCCGCTTGTATGGAGCAATTCCAGAAGACGTACCTACAAACGAATCGGTGACGTCACAGTATGCATGCAGGGTCATTTGTTCGACAAATCACGTGACAATTAAGCATAACGATTATATAGTTAGGGTGGTTACACCGAGAGTCACGCACTTCGTTGTAGCATAGCCTTTGGTTGAAAATAGGTCATGGCGTGACACGCGAGTAAAAATCACTCCGAGTTCTCACAAAATCACTGTCACA